CCCCCTCCCCCGCTCTCCCGGGTAGGTACTCCGAACAGCTGATTTCCTCGTGGTGCGCAGCCGCCTCTCCGCCCCCACTCCCAACCCCGATCTCATGGACTACCGTTTCGGGCGTTCGGCAGCAGAATTCGGCTCTACTCAAAGCCTGCCTTGCCCTCCCCCCCCACTTACGTAATGCGGGAAGGGAGGTGGCGAGAGAGAGAGAGAGAGAGAGGGGGGGGGGTGGAGGGAGTGCACCCCCCCTCTCTCTCTCCTGCCCGCCGTGGATTCCCTTGCGCGGCGGCGGTGGCGGGTCGGCGGTCGCCTCACTCGCGGCGCTCGCAGAGGTCAGTCAGCTTTTGAGTTTCTGTGGAGCGTGTGTGTGTGTGTGTGTGTGTGTGTGTGTGTTTGTGTGGTTGCGACCGAGCGCGACAGTCCGGTGCCAGTCGGTCGTCCTGTCAGACGTCCTGTCAGACGCAGCCGCTCAGCTGTTGGCCCTCGTCGCGCGTAACCCACTGCTGATCGCCGGTCTGGTAATTACCATGTGCTTCGATCTATTGATATTGGCATTCTGCCTTATCTCTCCACTCCACTCACGCATTAAAAAAATAAGAGGAATGTTTTTGGCGTTTGCTTATCGCGGTTTCCCCCGCCGCGGACTGACTAGTCCTTTCGGTATGGGTCCTGTCAACCGCAAAGCGCTCGTGTTCCTTCGCGGCCGGCGCCGGCGCCGTGCCCCGCGCGGGGCTGGTATAGTATACTTAAGCAGTCAGTGCCTATTGTGTCAATTGGGCGTAAGGTTTAATCACTTTGTTTTTGCGGGCCACACGACGCTTCACGGCGCGAGTGTCCTCTCGCGGCGCTCTTGATGAATTCGCCCTGCTAGCTTTGGTTAAATATAAGCGTTAAAAAACAAACCACAACATAGTGGAATCATTTGTTCATGTTGCAAGTAGGTTTTACTTCCAACAAGATAGTTGACTTTCCTGATGGAAGTGACCACTTGTTCCACGTCAACCTATTTGTTTCAAGAGCGGGCTTTTCGGAGTGTCTTCCGCACTGACAATAATTTTCCTTTGCCAAACCTTGCCCGCGGCAGCTTTGTCCGCGTGCTGTCGATGGACCGTTTTAACACGGTGAAAACGACTTCTCTCTCTTTTAAGGAAATAAGGAAAACTCTGAGGGGCTCCCATATTTGAGGAAAACTCCTCCGCACTGGAAATGCAAGTGTGTGAATGTCGCTCACCTGCAGGTGAGCGACATTCACACACTTGCATTTCTAGTGCGATCTCGCCTCAGATTTTGAGGAATCTTCTCAAAAAATGAGGAAAGATCCCACATTTTTTGTGGAGACTTCCTCGAAATCTGAGGAGTTTTCCTCAAACCAAGGGAATTCCTAAAAGTTTTCCCGCTTCCCTCAACCATGAAACTCTAAACTCGGCTCGCGGACTTCCCTGGCGCGGCACGTGCTTCTCTTTAGGCTGCACCGCACACACTGGCGCTTCCTCGCGATTCCCTTTTTTTTTTTTCTTTTTCGCGCCCGCTCGTCCCGTCTCGCGTTTGGCGGGAAAGTCGCGCAGCGTCCCCGTCAAAAGAATACGCGGCTTCACCTTGTTCAAGGACCCTGTTTGCTTCGCGTCCGCATCGGTCATCATCAGTGCGGTTCGAACTGCCACCTTGGTGCGGGCGGCGGCACGGCGAACACGCGGCAGAGTTTAAATTGTAAAAACCGCGCGACTGCTTCGTTTGAAAGGGAATAGGAGGAGGAGGAGGAGGAGGAGGAGGAGGAGGAGGTGGAGGGAGTGATTTGTCAGTGATACGGTGGTGGCCGCAGGCCGTCGTGGCGTGACCTTGGGGTGGGCGCGGGGCGTGTCTGGCGTGTCTATGGCCTGCGCCGATTATGCAGCCCAATCTTATCGTCAAAGGGAGCGCTACAAGGGGCTGCGCGCCGCGGCGTGGCCAGCTCGTGGTTGCCTACCTATCAGGTCGTTACATGACGCGCGCCCGGCCCGGCCCCGCCCGGCTGCCCGGGGTTACTTCATCCTGTGCAGCTGCGGGCGGCTGCGGCGGCGGGGCAGCGCGGCGGGGAGGGCAACAGGTTCCGCCGAAACGAATAATAATACAGGAAAAAAACCACGACAACCAATCAGGCCGACAACAAATATGTACAGTTCTCTTATTGCTGCGAGTGTTATCTCTCTCCTCCTTTGAAAAAAAAAAAAAAAAAAAAACTTAAATGTACCCGCATGGAAAAAAAGAGCTAAAAATGTGACTGGCCAAAGTGTCTTAAAAGTGTAAAATAAAAAGTATACAAAAAGTATAAAAAAATATGCCGAAAGTGCCACCAAAGTGTTGCCCGTGTTGCCAATGTGCTATACTTTAAGTATACCTACTTTTTACAAAAGTATACCCAAAAGTGTCATTTGGATATACTTATTTCCATGCGGGTACAGGCTTTTGAACTGCGCGCTTTTGCTTTATAGCAGTGTTGTACTTGTACTAGACCTGTAGGCCTAACCTATAGGGGAAAAAAAAACAACACACACACAAAAAACGACTGCTCAAATGACGAGTGTACAATCAATCAAGCTGACGCTACATTTTACCGTCGACTACAAATTCGTTGCGGGCCGACCGAATCGCTTATAGCCGGGCGACACAGCCAGACGACGACGCGTTGAACCTCGCCGCCGGCGCTCGACCCGCCCGCCCGGCCGCCAATGAATTTTCATGCTCGCTGACGCGGTGCTCAGGAGGCGCTGCAGGTGGGGGACCACCACCCGAGCGGCGCCCCAGGCCCCAGGTTTACGTACCCGGGTGCCCCCGCGGACGCCGGCGACTGACCCCTCGACGTCACGCGCGTCCGCTCCGCGCCGACGTCTGAACTGCGGCCAGATTATTCCTCTTCCTGCTTCAATCCTCGCTCTGCCTCACGCCCCGCGCCTCACCCCCTCGCTCTCTTTCTCTCACCGCTCGCCCGACCACGCGTGGCTTGATTGACATGCGCGGCTACTACCGAGAAAAGGCGTTCGTCACTATTTTGCTGTCGCCCACGGTGTAGATGGAGCTGTCGCCGTTCCCGAGCCCTGCACACGCTGTGCGCTGGCTGCCGCCGCCCTCCCGAGCCGTGCCGAGCGCCTGCCGTGGTGCGGGTAGGCCGCCCCGCGACTCCCGCCCGCGGCGGGCTGCCTATGCACAGGCGCTCCCGCAGCGCGCGCACCCCACCCCGCCGAGCAGTAGTATTAGATCCTCGGGCGGATCCACCAGTTTCAGTGCGTGATCATCTCTCCTCTCTCCGCTTAACTTCGCAGCCGTTCGAAGGTGACTTGTCGGTTTTGACGTCGGCGCCGCCGCCTTGACATGCATCTCGGTCCGACGCCGCCGCAGTGTGTATGCTTCAACCTTCACCCACAAAGGCGCCCGGGGGAAAGACCGATCCGTTTCCGCTTATTTGATTTTCTCTCTACAATCTTATGAACTATATTTTAATACTTAGCTTACAAATTTCTGTCAACATGCACCGCTTACACATTTTTTGCTTACGCGCGTATATGAACAAATTTGACAGATATCCGTAAGCTAAGATTTTAGTGTGTAAGCAAGCAGGTACCGTCACACTCTATCATCACGCAGTTGAGGCCTGTCACAGTTCGCCTGCAGTCTCTTGTAACACTTTTTGGAGCTCGCGGCGCCGCTATTGGTATCATATTGTGCCTCTCAAAAAGATCTTATTGTCGTCAATAAGGCAAATCTAAAAGGCATTTCGATTCTTATCATCATTGGGATTGCAGCGGGTTGGGTTTATATCTAGTTGTACCCGGCCCCGGTGTGCGTCGGGGTCGCTGCAGGTGACACAAGCCCAAGCCACACACACACACACGCCCCCTCCCCCCCC